GTTGGGGGGTTATATTGGGATAATGGAAAAATGGAAACTACTCTTCAGGATTTAGGCTTTAGGATTTAGGGTTTAGGGTTTCGGCTCTTAGGCTACCTGGGCCATGTGGAGAAACCACGAACTCTACGTTTCTAGATGCGGGCGCGTGCGTGTCGCCATGTACCCCATCTTCTGCGCCAGTCAACCACAGACCGGTACCCCTTCAGCCCAAAACCCAAAATACCGTAGCCTAGTTAGGGGAGGGGGTATCTGCATAACACCATATTATTTACCAATACCTACATTCCCTCCCTCACTCCCCCTAATCACCAGTAAAGTGGTGGTCGTCCAGCCTGTGAAGATCGCCAGCTTCCGCAGCTCTTTCTGCCGCAGCCGCTCGTCGCTGGTCAGGGCTCTGAAGGCCTCCTCGTCGGGTTCAGCGTTGGGGTTGTAATGTTTAAATATACTATAATAGATCATAAAATACCATAATATACTATAATAGACCATAATAGACCATAATATACCATAACATACTATAATAAACCATAATACACCACAATATACTAGAATAGACCACAAAAAAGAGTTGTTGCTGGTCTGGTGCTGAAAGAAGGTCTGGGGACTAGGGTTTGCCTTTGGTCTTAGAAGTTCAGGCTTGGGGTTAAAAGCCTAGTTTACGGGATCTAGGGTTTAGGATTGTAAGTCTGGGCGGTCTTTTCAGAAGTCCTTCAGTTCAAATGCATGAAGGGCCTGGTAAACTGCTGTAACTGTAACAGTTACACTACTGGGGGCAGCCTACATGTTCAAAAATGAAGTCGAAGAACAGCGCTGTACTCCTTGCCTGTCGTGCTCTCTCAGAAAGAAGGGTTTCCAGAGGATAAGAGGGTTGCTGTGGATTCTGCAGCGATGTGTACGAATTGCAGAGAACAATCAGGAATTTGTGAATATACCTTGAAAACATGCATCTAATCCCTACAATATTATAGTTGTTTCCATTTTCTTTTCCCTATATAACCCCTTAAATATCAATAGTAGTTTCCATTTTCTTTTCCATTATCCCAAGATGTTTTAGAACGTCCCTAAACCCTAAACCCCAGTATTGCCCCAATAAGGATCGAAATTCTGACCAAGTCCCAGGGTACGATTTACCACCCCTGTCCGGGATGCAAGCGTCATGGAAGTAGTAGGGGACTGCTGTGGAAACTCCCTTCCTGGTATTGTTTTTAACTTGTAGGACAGGATCTTAGTAGGCATATCTCCATTTTGGTTTCTCGTTATCCCTATAGGTAGTTTCGATCTCATTTGCCATTATCCCTAGATAACCCTATAATAGTACCCTCAAAAAGTTGTCAGAACTTGCCTTGTGAAACGGCATCGCCGGCTATATCCCCCAAAACAACAATGCCTGTGGCAACGTGCACTAGAGAAGTGACCCATTTCTATAGGGTTTAGGGTTCAGGGAATACATAAACATAGCCGCATGTCAAACTACATCGTGCTCACAAGATCCCAACATCTCTCCTAAAACAAAACCTTCCCCACACATGGCAGAAAAATGCATGAAGAACTGGAATGGGATGAAGAAAACGCCCCTACATCATCCGCAATACTCCATTTACCCCAAGACCGCCGAAATATACCCGGTCATAATATAGTAATTTCCATGTTCTTTTCCGTTATCCCCACTAGAACCCCGATAAAACCCTAATGTAACCCCAATAGAACCCCAGTAGAAACCCAATGTAACCCCAATATAGCCCCAATATTCCCTAAACACTGAACCCTAATCCCTAAACCCTAAACCCTAATCCCAACCTAATCCCTAATCCCTAAATCCCAAACCCTAAACCCTAAATCCCTAAGCCTAATCCCAAACCCTAATCCCTAAACCCTAAACCCAGCCTTAGCTCACCCAAGCGAGACTCTTGCCCGGAAGCACCTCAATGAGCCTGGCACGCTGTCTTGTCTCCGCTGGCAACGGCCAGCGCAAGCCTTCCAATAAGCCATAAGGGGTTTAGGGTTTAGGGATTAGGGTTTAGGGTTAGGGTTTAGGGTTAGGGTTTAGGGTTTTGGGTTGGGTTTGGGGCTTGGGGTTTGGGATTCAGGGTTCAGGGTTTCAGGTTTGGGGATTGAGGATTGAGGGTTTAGGATTTCGGGTTCCAGGTAACCCTCCGTAATCCGACTGACACTTTATTTATGGGTGGATAGTAAGTATAGCACCCTATCCAAGGTCCAAGGATTACCTTAGATCCACTCTGTATGCCCTACCAAGCAGCAATGGACAAAGCCTTCAGCGATGACTGCTGCAATTATGCCCATGTGCAGAGATGCAGTCTTCTGATGAAATAGTTATGTACCTGTTTAGGATTTCCTTCACAAAGTTTCAGACGCATTGAATGATGTGATTCATCAGGGGCTGACGCATGTAAATCATCGTTGATCCATAGAGGGGACTATATAGGGGAGTACTATAGGGGTTCCTCAAGGGGTTCCTCAAGGGGATCCTAGGAGTTTAGGATGTGGCTCATTTGTTCCCGTTTCCTTTTCCATTATCCCTACATGGTAATATCCCGAATAGGGGAACACCTGAACCCAGCCGAGAGCAAGGCAGAGTAGATCATCTGGCCTTAACCGCAGCTGGTGCGCCTCGAAATGCTCAGAAGTGTTGGCTTATTGGTGCTAGGGTTTAGGGTTTAGGGTCTAGGGATCATATGGATTCTAAAGTCATATAGAGGGATGATAATATAGAGGGATGATAATATAGAGGGATGATACTGGAAAAAAAATGGAAGCTACTATTTAGGGTGCGGGGGCTGGGGTTTAGGGTTTGGGGCTAGTACAACGCACAAAATGGGGCACCATGCACCATTATGGCTCTAAATTCCACTTAGGGTTGTGGTGTGATAGAAAACAACGATGACATGGAGAAAGCCTTCCTTACAGCAGCTCACTTCTAATTCATACTTCAATCACCTGGGCTATAATCTAAACTCCTTAATTCAAAGGGGTTATATAGGGGAGTATTGTAGGGCTTGAGATATTAGGTGTAGCTCACATGACAGTTGAGGTACTGAAAGAGCCTCCGGGCAAGGGCTTGCAGTATCGTAAGGACTTCGATACTCCACGCCCCTTTAGAAGCATAGCCTTCATGATTCACTATACCCCATAAACCCTAAACCCTACAAACCCTGAACCCTACAAATCCTGAACCCCACAAACCTGCAACCCTGAGGATGGCGTTCACAACAGCTGCGACTGGCCTCTATCAAGTCCAACGGAACATCAAATGCGCCGGAAACAGTTGGCCTGGCCAGGGAAAGCTGAAAGCTTCCTACAAAGGACACAGTGTTTAGGGTTTAGGGTTTAGGGCTTTGGGGACCCTAGTGGTAATATTAGGGTTGTATTGGGGTTATATTGGGATAATGGAAAAGAAACTGGAAATTAGTGTTTAGGGTTTATGGTGTAGGACCCTAGGAATATGTGGGGATTGCTTTGGAGATGAGACGGATCCATTTGGGGGCTTATTTAGGGGACTACTCCCGACTGACTAAAGACATGCACATCACGTTATAGTTGTAATTGGGAATGCGAAAATGGATTATAGGGACTACTCCGAACCCCCGTTCTCCACTGAAACTTCTTAAGAATACCTTCTTCAGATGCAGACATGCCAGCGGCACCCCTCAAAGAACCGCACAGCAACGCCATCCAAAATGCGCCCGTCACTCTCGGCCACGGAGGTGCTGGCAGCCTCGACCAGAGCGTCAAAGTCATGATCCCCTGCTTTGGGTTTGTGACCTGTGCAGGGAACCCTTTGGGGATCCGAATGGGGTAGGGAATAATGGGAAATCAAGGCACATGCAGGGGTTGTATGAAGATATTTTCGGCGTAGGATGATCACAGTTTTGACGCGCTGACATCGCGCGGGCGACGAAACTTGGCGGCATGTAGAGAATCTCATGTAAGGTTCTACAGTACGTAAGCTCTAACACGCTCTCGACAATGGCAGTCTCCGTTTCGCTTTCCATTTTCTTTTCCATCTGATTGTCCACTGTCGGTAAACCCTGTTCCTTCACCCTAAACCCTAAGCCCTCAACTCTTAGCAGGTTCAAGCTCCAGGCTCTGGTACCTACTCGACCTAGTTTCACAAGCCTTCTTCATGCTTAGGTGGGAACATGACGGAATGGCTTATAGGGACTATTACTGCGGTTGATATAGGGCTTTCCTCCTGCCGCACCAAGCATGAGCCAGCAAGCGACTCCTGCATCAGAAGCTGTTTTCTGCTCAGGTCTCCGAGAGTGCTTGCAGCTCCAAAAAGAAGCAGAAGTGCAGCTGACGATTCAGAAGTTCAACTGCCATGTCATCTCTTGAAGTTACTGTATGGTCCCCGTGTCTATTCCCAAACACCATTACTGTATCGAGAAACGCCCACGTGGGAGTTCCCCGACTGGCTGCACATCTGCCAGAAGTTGAAATCGCTTGCTGCGAGCGCCACAAAACTCCAGAGCGCTATGTCTCAGTTAATGACGTCTTTCTTGGCTTTAGTACTAGCGACTCAGAACTGAGACAGCTGGCTCCGGCAGGGAGTGACAGAATAAGCTGAAACGGGGTCAGAGGAACTAGAAAAGAATGGTCGCAGCATCCCTTCAGCTCCTCCGCCAGAATTGGTGTTCAAAAGCATCAGCACAGAGCTGCAGAAAGCATTATAGCGCCCCTTAAGTAGATAGAATGTGGCTTTGGGTATACTATAAAAGATTTCCATATACCCCATATTCTATCTACTTAAGGGGGACTATATCATTGCCACTTGGCTCAAGTGCCAGCGAGTTCATTAAGGAAACTCGGTGGCCCCAGACAAGGCCTCCCAAGCCCTATATTTGGGGTTATATAGGGGTTATGTAGGGGTTGCAGGGGTTATCTAGGTGTTATCTTGGGGTGATATTGGGATAATGGAAAAGAAAATGGAAACTACTATTTAGGGTTTCTGGCCCTCATATGTGGAGTCCGTTGCCTTAAGTTCAGGACAATCGCTGGAGCCACTCTGCGATCTTCACTTCACATCGACCAGAAGCCACACCAACCACATCAGCCAAGACTACCACCTCGCAATGAATGGGGGAAATGGGGGAAATTTGCGGGTTTCCCCAAATTAGGGGTACCCTTTTTGGCGGAATCTATAAAAAGGATTCTACTAGTTGGGGGTCCATATTGGGGTCCCCTGATTGTGGGAAACTACCATTTCTAAGGGTGTTGTGCACACGGTTGAGGGTTTCGCGCTAGAATTTAGACCTAGAGGAGATGGCCCTTCCAAGGATAAGCCTAGCGTAGCCTATAGCGGACCTAGAAGAAGGCCATCCTGAAAAAGCCCTTGTTCTGGCCCCTCCCCCATCACTAGCCTTGAGCATCAAGGAAATTCAGATGCAGATCTCTTCCTATCAAGCTTGCTACGAGCAATAATGAACTCACTAGCTGCTGGCAGAATCAGTGACACGTGATCCATAGTCGAAACTCCTAGTGTCCCCCCTCATAGCCGGTATAATCATCCCCTATATTATCCTCCATGTCATATAACCCCCGTAAGGATTCAACTCTTGCTCATGTACTGCAAGGCCAGGGACGGGCTTGGTGTTGCGGATCACTTGCACGATGCTTTCGAACAGACATACTGGTCATGAATCAGCACGAGATTGCTAATAGGAAGCCTGTTCAAGTATAGCCTAAGATTCTGACGCTGCCATCCAAAGACCAGTAGACATTAGTTGGCAAGGAGGAAAGGCACCTACTGATGCCAGGAAAATGAAGCCACTGGCATACGCAAAATGCAAAAAGCAGATTCGTTTGTAAACCACCCAATGAGAGACCGCCAGCTTCAAAATCGACACAGCTGGACCGAATGCCAAACTGAACAAACCTTTCAAGCAACACCCCTGAAAGACGGCCCCATGTAATCCTGGAACCAGTCAAGGTTCGGCTTTGTCAAGACATCCGACTGTTAAGGCACATGGGAGTTGCTCGACATAATCCCATTCGTGAAAAGCTACATATTATGAAAGTTGTTCCACATACGTGTCCCCAAAATGGCCAGAGGGTAGGTTCCCTTGTTGTTAGGATCTCCCTTTGAGGAAGTGCGTTCCCAAAAATTTCCACCTTTTACAAGGACCTTTAGAACAACCCTAGGCCCTACGTGTCCCTAGATAACCCCAAGCTTCCATTTCATCTTCCATTTTTCTTTTCCATTTGATTCTCCATTAGCAAGGTAGTATCCCTGTCCCTCCGGCAGCCTTGCCGCCCAGGGTAGCCAGGGCATCACGGCCTGTAGGCTGGGATTTTCCCTGTTCACACTTAGGATTTCGAGAGTATGGGGAAGGTGGAAGTTTGCCCCACTGTGGCTTGAGGAGAGAATTTCAAGGTCCAGGAGTCTGCTGGAGGAGAAGAGCAAAATGAACTAGAAAGCCGGTGACTATAGTCTCCCTGAAATAGATAGAATCTGGGGTATATGGGGATCTGATTATAATATACATTAATATACCCAAAGCCATATTCCATCTACTCAAGGGGGACAATAGACCCTTGGCAGCAGGAGCGATGACGATGAACACACTCCTGACAGCATGGACATGAGATTCGCAAAGGCAACGAGTACTGCATGGGAGCTTATCAGAGGAATCCTACGTATACTTTCTACATATACAGGTACATAGACGTATACATGTACATGTCAACATATGTAACATGGTCCTAAGGTCATCACATTGAGAAATCCCAAATTCTTGCAAAACGAAACATGAAAGCCAGACTGGCAGTACTAGGCCTTCCTCATAGACTTGAGTTTTGTACCCTTAAGCTGACTGGGGGGTTACCGTTATTCCCTACGAACCACTTGTAAGTCAGGTTTTTACCCTTGGTTTTTAAGTCCCAAAATCCCAGTCTCAGTGTTTGTTGACTCGGGTGCCTGTTGCCTTTGCGGCACCCGCTCGCTGGCCCACGAGCTGCGTCCGGTTCAGGGCAAGAAAGGCAAAGCCAGCTACTTTTGCGCCAGACTCTTCACCTTGCGCGGCATACCCTGTTTAGGGTTTAGGGGTTTAGGGTTTAGGGCTTAGGGTTTAGGACCCAAGCATGGTAAGGAAGGGGCCGAAATAAGGCCTCAGTATATACTATGGACTATGGTTCAAGGATTGTTGGGGAAGAACAATGGACAGTATTAGGGCTGCTACGTTACGGTGAAGGGCCCAGGGTTTTGGGTGGAGGGCTTCAGCCGTTTGACCGCGAAAAGGCAATGCAAGATGTCGTGCGGGTTCACAATGTTTTGCCCCACAAGGTCGTTGTGGGATGGTAAAATGATAGGAGCCTCAGGCACCATTCCGGCTTATGAGCTTTCCACAAAGAAGTACCTTACTGGTGCTTGGTAGGAACAAGGGAATATAACCCCATATCCCCAATAATATATGTACATGCCTAAATCCCTGCTTACCCGCAGTAAGATATAGGCAACATAGCAAATCACTGAGGCTTGCACAGATCTGCTTCAGTGCCAGGGCAGTTTGTCCTCCAGGTACCGGCAGTGGGATTTAGGATTTAGGGTTTAGAGGCTCGGGGGGTTTAGGGTTTAGGGTGTACAGGCTCCAAATCATATTTTGAGGGATCTCAGAGATCTCCATAATCTTGGATGGGCTCATTTGAGAATCTGGGTTTAGGGGTCCTCCAGTGACAAGAGCATCCAAGGAGCATGAAGCATGACACTTCAACTGAAACAGTTTCCAAGAGATGAAGTGGCGGCCTACTTGGAACAAAGAGTATGCACTCACAAACCAAAAAAAAACTTCTGGCCTGCAAGACAGTCATTGCATCTCAGCAGTCATCCAAGACTTCAAATAAAATCCAGGCAACTGGGCATGTGCCCACACAGTGAGATCTCTACATGCAGCCCTGCCAGCACAAGCAAATGGCACCTGATTTATGAAGTCTGTCTGCATGCACTCTTTCGCAGAGACATGACGAAACTCCTGAGGCCAAGAAATCATCCACAATGAGAACTCGGTCGCTGGGACTGAAAAACTCCCCGGAGACATTGAAAGTGCCTGATTGCGCAACATTCAAAGAGGACCATGGCTGGCTTTTTCGGGTGCTGAGAGGGAGTTCGGTATGGGGTGACTTTTGGGGTGTACTGTTTGGGCTCGCAGAAAATTCCGTCCCATTCGCAACGCACGCACGGGAGAATCCTGCCTGTCGGAGCCTGCGCGCTCAGAATCTTCTGGCCCTTCATGGTCAGAGGAACACCTGTACCTTGACAACCGGCAAGATAGTCACACAAAAAAGGGTCAAGAAAACCACAATACCCCACAGTCGCCCACTATCCGGGCCAACGTCTGGGATGTTTGCTAATATGGCCATGCATACCCCATAAAACCAAATCAATCTGAGCTATAGTCTAAACTCCTAGTATCTCCCTTAGTAACCCCCTTAGTAACCCCTGTAGTAGTCCCATATATAATCCCCATAGAACCCCCTTTAAGGAGTTTAGTCTA